CTACTACTACTACTACTACTAATTTAATCGTAATAAGTATAATGCTATTTTGGGGCTTTAACGTGTTGGAGTTTACGGCCTGGGGTTCAGAGTTTTGGGGTTTCGGCATTGAGATCAAGTGGATGATTTCCTTGAACCGCTTGGGTGTCATGAAGCTTAAGACAGCAGTCGGTCCCATTCTGGTTAGATGAGTCTCAGTTTCACAGCTGGTCTTGATCAGCCTCAATATTATCGTGGTTGAGTCTTGGTTTTGGTACCACGGCACAGCGGTCATTCTCTCATTTCCTTCTGCTGCGGTATGTTTTCGGTAAGCTTCCACGACGCCGTGCTCGCGTAGCCTTTTTTGGTAGTACCGAGAAGGCAGCTGCCGTTCCTCCCGCACAGATTTCGTGTTCGTGACAGCTGCTGGTCGGTCCTGCTTGCCTTTAGCCTTTAGCCTCAGCACGGGTGTTGCCCGCATCGTGGAAGACGTGACTAGAGCGCGAGCTGCAGATCCCATACTCGATATTTTGAACCTGCTCGCGGAACACGCGGCGAGAGCCGGATCCGTCGCAACAGTAAGCAGTAAGCGGCTCTTGTTCCCCGCCTTGACTCCGTGGGGTCCGCTAGTGCTTGAGGAGGCCGCCAGTACTTGGGGGAAGCTTGGTGACCTCCCCAGCCTTTCTACAACCTCTTGGAGAGGCAGTGGAGGGGGTGACCCCAAAAGCGTGCCGGCCCAACGTTTGTGATTGTTGCTTTTGGCCTTAGCCTTGTGCCGATTAGGCCCAGGCTCTTGCTTCGACCTCCCCTCGGCTCACCTCGCCTCTGCTTATGTTCATGTCCAAACAGAGACAGCTACAACAGCCACCACATCTACAGCTTACATTCACACCCCATACTCATACTATGTCCAGTATTACTGGTGGTCGCGTCAACGTGACATTCCGATAGGTATCGGTTTCAGACGCTCCTCAGGACCTCCCTGCTTCGCTCGAGGCGCAGCTCTTGCCTCTTCGCTGCACTCAGATACGGGCGGGTGGGCTGGGGGCCCAGAGAAAAAGAAAACAGTTTAGGAAGTTTAGAGAGTCGGGCGTCCAAAGGCGAGCGAGAGAGAGTCATTGTGTAGTTCAAGATGCACCCGCTTCCCACAAATGCCATTTGTCCTGGCGGCTTAGACTTGATACAGTGAAGATGAGGCAGTGTTGTTTGAGCACTTTATTGCTGACTTCTAGCGCCGCTCGCCCATGACTCCGGTCTGCTGTTACTTTCACGCCTCCTCATCAGGGCAGAGCCATCGCTCGGGGGTCTTCGGATGCAGGGGAGGGAGGAAGAGAGAGAGAGCAAACGGACCCCTACGCCCGGCAGAAAGAAAGAAAGAGAGAGAGATACAGAGAGAGAGAGAGAGAGGGGGAGGGCCTGAGGGTCGAGAGATCGACCCGTACGCCCTGCAGAAAGAAAGAAAGAGAGTAGCCATTTTGGCCGCCATGCCGCGTCAAGCTGTCTTTCAAGCCACGCCAGGGCTGCTTGGAGCTGCGCCGGATCATGGGACCGCAGGTACGCGTCATCCATAAAGGCCCGCCTGGCTCCGGGGGTGGAGGGCCCTTAGCGGGCGGCAGCATGGGCTTGGTTTCTAGGCTGTCTGCAACTATGCGGCTGAAGAGGATGGGACTGTCTGGGGACCCCTGGCGTACGCCATTGCTTTGTTTGAGGGATCGAAGTGATTGTGTCCCCCACTGCCACCTGCATTTCTTGTGCTTCCAACAGCCCTAGCCAGGCCTCCCACTCTGGCTGCCACCACGTCTCCCATCCTTTCCTGCCACAAGCTGTCAAAGGCCTTCCGTATGTCAAGTTTAACAATCCACGCCGGCCCCCACTCCTTGGCGTGGCGCACGACCCGGCGAAGGACCACCAGCATTTTGGGCGCACTGCTGGGGTGCGCCATCCTGGATGCATCCCCCTCCCCTGAGTAGGAGTAGCTGGGCAAGCCATTTGAGCACCGCCGATGATTGGCCTCGTGTCCCCCCATGTGGGCGGGTCGCCAGGGGTCTTTGGCAGGAGAATGGTCGTCCCCTGTTGGACTTGTGCTGGCAGCTCCCCTTTGTAAAGGAAGTCGTTCATCATGTGGAGGATGCGGCATTCCCACGCAGATTGAAGCAGCAGCCACAGTGTCTCGTGTGTGATGGCGTCTGGGTCTGTGGCTTTGTTGCGCTTCCATGTGCGTGTGGCAAATCGCAGGTCATCTGCTGTGAACGGCCTCCATGGGTGTTTGCAAAGGCGGGTAAGAGCCTCCCTGATGTCCCCCAACCGGTGTTTGCTGGGGCTTTGGCGAATATGTCCTGGAAGTGCTTTGTGAGGCGAGCTTGCCACTCGCTGTCATCGGTCAGTCCATGTTGCCACCCACACGGGCCTGTGGTTGGTTGAGCGATCTGTAAGCCCCCCAATTGGCCTGGCTGGCCCCCTTGACCAGTGTGTCGTGCCATGTCCGTGTTCCTGCTTGCGTTGTCTGGCCACTCGTTTCCAGGCTGCTCTGGCCTCATGCGGTGGGGCCTGATGGGCTGAAGTTCCTGGTCTGTTGTCGTGGTTTCGGGGTATGCATCTTACGACCTCCCCACAAAGGTGTTCGCCATAGGCCCTGCAAGAGAAAGGAGAGAAGGGGAGAAGGAGAGCCCATGCGCAGAGCCACAAAATTCTTGGAAACGGCTAAGGCTTCAGCTGCACCAGCTACGGCGGGACATCGCGGCAGAGGAGCGGCGACTTCGGAAGGCAACTGTGAGTGCATGCGGCTGTTTGGTTTCCGACTTAGTTTCGCGCGTAGTTAGTCTGTAGCTCACGGCGGCCGCTTTTCTGAAAAGGCCGGGGATGATTCGATCGCAAGAGAGAGGCCGACGCTTCTGGAGGCGTCGTGAGAGCAAACAGCAAGCCGACAGAGCTGCCTCCGTGCGTCAATTTTTTCTAGTTCATTGGGCAATCAGGAAGCAAACGAGTGTGTCGGTGCGAGTCTGCACGAACGAGTGATTTGGAGGTGCATGTGACACTGCTCAAGCGTGTCGTGGCTGCAAGAGAGCCTCAGTGTCCAATTTGTCGACAACCCCCGTCATATTTGCCAGCCGAGACAAGGTGAGCTTGTGTCAGCACTTTGTGGAAAAGGTGACAAAGAGGACTGCAAGGCACGGTCCGGCACGTTGTGAGAGTCCAGTTTCGGTTTGAAGAAAACCTCGCACAGAACCGGGCGGTCATTAGCATATCGAACTGGCGGAGGGCCGGCCACACCACAGTCAGCTCGTGGTCGAAGAATGTCGAAGACAGATCATTCTGGCTGTGTGGCGAGAGTTCATGGCATGGCGACAGGATAGTGGAGGGTTTGTGTCTTGACTACGGCAATCGGCCTGATGCGACGGCGACGGGCGGTCAGTGGTGTTGAACATGACAACGACACTGGTGATCATCGTTTGAATTTTCGTGCTATCGTTCCGCCTAGCTAGCTTATCGTTTTACAATAGTCTTGTCGATGTCTTGCCACCTGAAACAGTAGCTCTCGATGCAATTTGTAATTCGCACTGAATTCAGTTGCCCTGCAATCCTGGGTCTGCAAGATGCAACTGCATGTCCTTCGTCGTTATCTTGCGTGCCAGGAAGCCAAGTCCTACGGACATCAAGTCAAATCGATGATGTGGACAGTCGTAACAGGGACGGCAACAAGTTTCGTGATTGGTGTCACTGTGCTACAACTTGTGAAGACATGCTCACAGCCGGAGTGCCGAGGCACTGTCTGCCTGTTTGTTCCTGCTATGGTAGAGTCGCTGGTCCTCGGTGACGGATCGCAGCCTGTCTGCAAGATGTGCTTTCGCAGAAGCAGCCTTACGAACGTGCCCAACTCCGGAGAAGCTCGAGAGAGGTTGCAGGTCTTGTCGCCTTGATTCTCGTGCGGAGTTCTTCAGTACCGGGTTGATGTTCCTCCTTTCGGGCTTGCGGTAGAATGCCATGCAGCAAGGTTTGGCATGCACCTGCTGCAACCACTACAGCCGGTTCTGATGCTCCGCCAGTGCGCGGGACATTCAAACGGTTTCACACAGTCGATGCCACCAGAGCAAGGCTAGGGGCCAGCCCGAGCCCCGCATCTCGCGATTCTCGAGAGTGAACAGAAGCGCCTGCAGCGGAAGTTTGAGGCCTCAGGGCCCTGATTTCTGAACCTATCCGCCCGACAAAGTCAAAGCGGCTATAGTGTTTAGGGTTTTGGGTTCGAAATTTAAATCGCGATTCAGGTGTCAAGGTTCTGTTTAGCAGCAGAGATTTTTCGGTAAATACTGCACCAGTGTGAGGTTTCGTGTAAGGCGTGCTTTGTGGGGTGTACGTTATACTAAGTTATACGTGATGTTAAAGCCCCGAGAAAGGTTCTTAAATTCTGGGTGTTGGGGCCTTCGAGCTTGGCAAACCATACTATGGGTGGTACTTTGTCAAGCTTCTGAGTTTTCTTTCTGGTCTTCTAGAGAAGGGTTTAGGGTTTGGGGTTTCGCGTGTAGTTTTGAAGGCTATCTACTTGGATACATGTAGGCACTATTTATAGGCTTTAGACCCCAAATCAGGTACTAGTTCTCTACTTGGAGCCCTGGGGTTTACTACTGTACTTAGTTACTACGAACAGCCCAGAATCTAATTGTCTACGGTTATCGGGCTCAGTTCAAGAGAGATCGAGGAATTGCTTACACTGTTTAGGGCGTTCAGGGTTTAGGGGTTTACAGTTTAAGGTTGAGGGGTTGAGAGTCTAGGGCCTCAGGGTTTAGGGTGTTTAAATATTTAGGGTTTAGGGTGGACCGGCTTTTGCCGCAGTTTTGGGAGATGGATCTGTCGTCTCCTGGGGCTGGGGGGAAGAGGAGGAGCACGAGGAGCAGGAGGAGGAGGAGGAGCTTATGGCCAAGGCCGTTAAGGCCGTTGCTGGTCCTTCACTTGAGGCCCTGGACCGGGCCCCCGGAGTCATGACGGAACATGTCGAAGTCGTTCTGAAAGTCATGGCTGAAAGTCATGGATGGAGTCTGCCTCTGGCGCTGTTCTGCACACAATCTTGCCACGGCGGGTTGTGAGCTCGCTTTTGTGTTCACACCAGTCTGCGTGGGTTTCCAGAAGTCTGCCTAAGTCTTGAAGTTATTGATCCAAGCTTCATTCGACGAGCATTTGCTGCCTCTGGCGCTGGAACCTTGGCTCAACACATGTTGAAAGTAGCCAGTACCCGAACTTTTCAAGTTTTATGATGCAAGTATCGTCTGAACTGTTTAGCCCGTGCTGGTCGCTACTAATTTCTAGTCACAGGGAACAAGTTCAGGACCGGCCGGGACATTGCGAAACTCCTCTAAAAATGTAGGCCTCCAGGGTTGCATGCATAGGAGTCCTTTTTCCCTCCTAACCACTGCAATTAGCAGATTTTTCCCGACCTTGGACTGCGGGCCGTGCTCCCAGCTTGCTGAACCTCGCTGCGTCTGCTGGCAAGTTCGCTGAAGTCAACGACCCCTTGAGGTAGCCTGATGCGCTTCCGGATCATCGCGCTGAGCCTTGAGTGAAAAAACTCAGCTGTTTCGAGCCTCAATCTAGACACGGCTAGATTGAAAATCGTCTTGCCTTCAATGAATGGACAGCGGTTTAAGCGGTGCTGTCCTCAGGGCCTGGTCCAGAGCTGAAATATGTCTTGTCTTCGACGCAGAGTGGTCCAGGCTCATTGCAGACGTGGTATTCTAAAGTTAACAGATGGTACTCGTGTCTTGTCGGGTAACATCACAGACGGTCCTTGTTGCGACCAGTCTCTTTGCTGGTGTCCTCTGCCACATGCTACGGCTATGGTTTCTTTCGCTTGAGGACACTCTGCTGCCTTTCCTTGGCAGAGCCCGACGTGCAGGCCTCTGCCCTTCGCTGTCGAGTCTAGCAGCCGAAGTTCTCACTGAAAAGCTAAAGCTTTGTCCACATGACATGCCTGCCTGCTCGACGAGGTTGGCAAGCTTGCAAGCGGGGAGTCCGTCAACTGGTGCGCCGTTCTTGTTTTCGCCTCGCCTGAACGAAACCAGAGTGCCTCGCTGCCCTAGCTTGTTGCTGGCTTCGACACACCCGGCAGCTCCACGCGGACCGAATGCCTGGCTCTCCTCCGCGATGTCACTGCGATGCGACATGAGAAGGAGGCCCGGCCAGCCTCCCGATTTGCTGCAAGTTGCAGTTGCAGTTGCAGTCTGTTGAAGCATGTGCCATGGCTGAGAAGTTTCAAAGCATGCACTGTTGGCTGACACCACGCGATTGATGTCCTCGCTTCAGGCTGAGGCTTATTCCATGCTCGGCTATGCCGACAAGGCCTTGCGCCAGGCATCTTCGGCGGAGGCGCCTGGAATCAATTGCAACTGCAATTCTGAGAAACAGGTGCAGAAGGGCAGAGGCATTCAACAAGCATCAAGACAGAAAGATAGCAACAACTGCAGTTCAAGTAGGTCTTCCTCGGCGGAGGAGCGCTTATGATTCCTAGGTCCTAGGGCAGGGAATGAAACAAGCGAGACAAGAGGGAGCCTAAAGGAAAGGATGACGCAGGCAAACCTTGGCTGCTGACGAGTGGTCTCACTTGTGGAACTGTTCTGCGCGACAGAGAGAGGGATAGAGAGAGAGAGAGAGAGAGAGGCACGACTCTGGGCTCTGTGTAGCCGAGCCTGCTGGGGCAAAGCTTCAGTGGGGGCTGTTGAAAACCTGTGACCCGCAGGTGCGCGCTCGCGCGCGGGGGTTCGGGCGTCCGCTCGTTCC